AAAGAGGGCTTTCTGCTTCCTTAAATAGTTCCAGTCTCAGAAGGGTCACTATGCCAACCAAAGACTGTGAGAAAGGACTAGAGATCTGCTTCAGTAACAGTTACAGCCAAAAAAACCCAATGAGGAATAGTGTTTATGTAGAATTACCTATTTCCTTTATACTGCCTGAAACTTTTCATGTTAAGGAGGTTTAACAAGCATCCTCTTTTAAAATTTACTTTTTGTAGTGACAGTAGATTGGCAATGAATCATTTGTACGTGCAGCTTCATTTCACTTATGACTCATTGTTTAAGTTGAAGTTATATGTAATATATTAATGCGATGTGCCCAAAAGGTGAGAAATTAAAGGCAAATATCCTATTCACCAATTCTAAGGTATATATATTTTTCATAATTTAGCATCTCCAAAATCAGGGTGTATCTTAAATTAATGGCTGTAATTAACTGGAAACACATTTTCTTTATAAATAATCTATAAAATTATGATGCATCTTACAATTGGAATTCAGTGCAATTCAACAATTAATCTTACAAGCCCAAAGTTGAACTGATCTCACCAAGATGGACCCTGTGGTAGTAAGAAAGCAACCAATTAAAGCATAAAAAGGGGTTGAGGGGTGGTCAGGAAAAGAGTTCCTAGTCCAAAAATAAGCCAAGAAGAATGGCCTGAGGAGAAACCCATGTTCCTTTTCCTCCATGGCTCAGCACTCCCAAGATCAAAGTCAGATTAGCATACTAGTTGAATAGGCTAAAAAGGGACCTTCCCTGTTATTCAATTTAATATGCAACAAAATCTGATCCAGGCTGGCGCTAAGATCTAGTAGCGGGACTATAAATTGTATAAAAACATCTGTTTAAGAAAAAAAATTGTATAAATTATCAAGGGTTCGTGGGTGGTGGTGGTGGTGAGGAGTTGATACCAAGGGCTCAAGTAGAAAGATGTTTTGACAATGATGATGGCAACAGATGTGCAGATGTGCTTGACCCAATGGATGTATGTATGGATTGTGATAGAGTTGTACGAGCCCCCAATAAAATGGTTAATAAAAGAATGATGATGGCAACAAATGTACAAATGTGCATGACACAATGGATGGATTGTGATGAGTTGTACGAGCCCCCAATTAAAAAAAAAAACGTAAGAGACCAAATGACTCTGAAACTACACACATTAATGTGTGCACAATGCTGTACATAAATTGTGTGTAACTAAAGCTGATTTTTAAGACAAATGAGCAAGTACATTAAGAAAACATTAAGATAAAAATCAAATTCAGAATAAGAAATTCCATGCAGAATAAGGAAATGGAGAAGACTTCATCGAAGTGAATTTGAAATAAGGCTTAAGAAATGAATCATACATTGCCATTGAGTTGATTCATCACAGTGGCCCTATAAACCAGGGCAAAATATCTCTGTGGGTTTCTGAGACTGTAACTCTTTATGGAGAACGTTGCATCTCTCTCCCAAGGAGTGGCTGGTGGTTTTGAACTGCTGACCTTTACAGCAGCTCACTGCATAACCCACACCACCACCACCACCAGGACTCCTGTTCTTAGGAGGTAGTTATAAACGTTGTGAGGACTTGGAATGTGGCAACAGCCACATATACAGTCCAAGAAGAGAAAGCAGTGTAAGTAACGACAGGGGGCAGAGGAGTCACAGGGTGTAAGCAGGGACCAAGAGGCATGTAAAACAAGACAAAAGACTACTACTCAGCCAGAAAGAAAAGTGAAATTCTCACACATACCATCACATGAACTAACCTTTACACAAATAACATGAACAAAACACATCTCAAGAGAACAAGCCCATGGGGGCTACAAAAAGCTTATGGAAAAATGAAATGAAAAGAGCATGGAATTTTCCCACAAACTTTTGGAAGCCCCCTCATATTGTTATGTTCCTGTTTATATAACCCTGGAGTCCCCAGATGGAGCAAATAGTTAAGCCCTCATCTACAATCCAAAAGGTTGATTGTTCCAGAGGCATCTCAGAGACAGGCCTGTCATTCTGCTTCCACATGGGGTCACTATGAGTCAGAATCAAGTCAAAGGCGACTAACAACACATGGTTATCTAGAATAGGAAAGTGAATATAGGCCAAAGGTTATCAGGAAACGGCATGAGGGAGACGTGGGAGGAGGGAGAGGTCTTACTGCTGGCTGCTGAGCTTCCGTGGAGGGTGATGGATGGAAAAAGCTGAACAAGGATATATATGGTGATGGTTGCACGATATGACAAACACAATTAATGTCAATGAACTGCACGTGTGAAGAATGTTGAAATGGCAAGTGTATTGTTACACATGTATTTACCACAATTTTTCTTAAAAGTTATTTAAGAAGGAATGCATCAGAAAAACTGGATAAAAAGTAAAAGCAAAAAGATCCTAACATTAGTCAAGGTAGAATCAGAATGTGATTCAGTCAGCAAAAAAAAAAAAAGGGCCCGAAAAAGGGAAAAAAACATTTGTAGGAGAAAATTTAAGGGACAAAAACTGAAAATCAAACAACACTAAATTTGAAAATTCACTAAATATTTTTTCTGGAGAAACACTAAAGCTGACCCAAGAAGTAGGAAACCTACATAAACCAACAGCTATTAAAGAAACAGTAATATTATTCAATTTTCTTGCAAAAAAAAAAATCTAGACCAAATTGGCAAATGGGTGAGACTTTACAAACTTTCAATCTCAGTCTAAACCAACAGTTCTCAATCTGTGGGTCGCGACCCCTTTGGGGGTCGCCTGATTCATAACAGTAGCAAAATTACAATAATGATGTAGCAATGAAAATAATGTTATGGTTGGGGCATCACCAAACATGAGGAACTAACTGTATTAAAGGGTCGCAGCATTCGGAAGGTTGAGAACCAGTGGGCTAAAGTGTTTTGAAGAGAGAAAAAGAAGAAAAGCTGCTCAACTCATTTCATAAATAGATTATAATCTTGAGTTCTACAATGAGCATTAGTTTTAAGGGAGGTGCCATTTGACACATTTCAATTTATTCAACAAAAATTACAGAAACTGTTTACATTTACCTCCTACCATTTGTGCTGACTTTTATCCATTTAACAAAACAAATATATATCCAAATTAATTTTCTTCTAAGATTAGAAACTTGAAATTCTGTGTGGTTTATGTATCTCTACACACATAAATTTGATGCAAACACGAACTGTGTATTAATTCCAGTAAATCAGTTTCATTCATAAAAGCATTACTTCAGTAATAAATATAAACGTATGCCAAGGGCTTAAGTGGAGAGCAAATGTTTTGAGAATGATGAGGGCAACGAATGTACAAATGTGTTTTACACAACTGATGTATGTAGGGATTGTGATAAGAGTTGTATGAAGCCCCAATAAAATGATTTTTAAAAAATTTCTCAGAAAGTAAACATCAAATATAAAGACAAACAATGCAGTGGAGATTGTCATACTGACTCACCCAACCACCCTCAAAACCCTAAACTCAAAGCCATTAAGTTGATGCCCACATACAGCAACCCTCCAGGCCAGGGCACAACCGTCCCTGTAAGTTCCCGAGACCCTAACTCTTTATGGGGGTAGCAGCTGGTGTCAGCACTGCTGACCTTTGAATTGCAGCCCAATATGCAACCACTACACCACCAGGGCTCCTGTGCTGAGAGTGGGTGGGGAAAACACAGTGATAGGATTCAGTAAAGTTAAAAGGGTTAACTGTGTTTGCCACGCTGTTGGGTATAAAATGAACCATCTCAGAAGAGGGAATCTCACTACTAGCAAAAGAGAAGTGTCAGGTGTGGAGTGTGTCTGCCAGACCCCACAATCCCTGTGCACTGAACCTCCTTGATCCAAGAGATAACTCTGACATCAAAGGAATAACAGAAGAGCCCCACCGAACCAAGAGCCAAAATATGAGACAGAGCAGTGGACTTCTCAGTCCACAGAACAAGATAGGCTGAGTGTTTAGATCATCAGGAGGGCAGCTGGTGGAGCAGAGTGGCTCTGGGCACTTAACGTATATACTTGAGTGTAAGCCGGCCGGAATCTCCACCGAGGCACCTAATTTTACCACAAAAACTGCATTAAAAAATGTGTTGAAAACGATAAAACATAAGAACTTTCCTCTAGTTCTTAAATGCTTCCTCCCCTAACCCCACCCCACCCACACTATCATGATCCCAATTCTACCTTACAAATCTGGCTAAACCAAAGGATGTTCACTGGTACAGATAGGAACTGGAAACACAGGGAATCCAGGACGGATGATCCCTTCAGGACTAGTGGTGAGAGTGACGATACCAGGAGGGTGGATGGAAAGGGGAACCGATTTCAAGGATCTACATATAACCACCTCTCTGGGGGACAGACAACAGAAAAGTGGGTGAAGGGAGACATCGCATGGTGTAAGACATGACAAAATAATAACAATTTATAAGTTATCAAGGGTTCATGAGGGAGGGAGAAAATGAGGGCCTGATGCCAAGGGCTCAAGTAGAAAGCAAATGTTTTGAGAATGATGATGGCAACAAATGTACCAATATGCTTGACACAATGGATGGATGTATGGATTGTGATAAACATATGAGCCCCCAATAAAATGATTTTTTTTCTTAAATGTACTGAAAAACTCAGCTTATACTCAAGTATATAAGGTAATTGGAAGAACTGGGTTTGCAGACCCACAGAACTGGAGCTGAATGCCTCAGGCTGAGTCTTAGAGCACAGTGGCATGCCTTTTGGTCATTTACTTGCAGCCCCCAAAGGGCTTTGAGACATTGCCAGAGCAGGGAAGAGGCCAGACCCGAGGCCAAGGACCAGAGAGAGACCTGCCTGGGAGCACAGCAGAGACTATCCTAAATGAATAACTGTGTCCTGATAATTTCTCATCTGAATTGTAACCTATTAATTTCCCTAATAAACCCCATAATCATGAGCACCGTATAAATTCTGTGTGGTCACTGCAATGATTTATAGAGCTCAGCAAAAAAGTAGAATGCAATAGGAGACAGCACCTTCAGTGTCAAATGTGGGGTCCCGTGCAATGGCTCCAGACTCTGGAAGCATGGGTCTGTGGGAGAGAAAGAACCAAAGGGGCATAGGAAGTAAAACATTTGATTTTTAGAATGGTTACTTTGGTTACAGTTACTTATAAGGACTACAGCTGAGGGGAGAAAAGCTACTTCTGGGGTGGCCTGGGCAAAAACTCAGCTGGTTGAAGAAGGTGACTGATAGGGCATCTGGGCCTACTACATCCACCCAGCCAGAGGTCAAGGTCATATATGCATAAATGGAGACATAATCCAGAGAAAATGATGAGATAAATTGGGACATTAAAAAGGTTAGATTGTTTATTTGACTGCACTATGGATAATGGACGTTTCTCCTACTTGTATTGTAAACAGGAAATCAATAATCATTACAAGAGCTTGTAGGCTTGCTTTCAGCCTATACTTGATTGACTATGCTATAGGGGGAGTTACAAATTGCCCAAAAGGAACAGGCTTTATTTTAAGACAGAAGCTTCTGCAGATTTAGGGGCTTGGGTGGAAGTCTGAGTCCCATTCAGAAATGCTGAGAGAAGAGATTAAGATTTGAAGGGTAGACCTGAAAAGGGCAGGGAGAGGGGGTTGGCTTTCTGAGTATTTAGCAAGACGTTTGCCATTAGATGCATCCATCAGGGAAAGCCTGTGCCCATCAGAGAAAGCCCCCTAATAGGACTTAAGGTTAAAGGAAGCTAGGGAACAGCAGCTAGGTATACTTTTTATGGTAACTACCTGGGTCCACTTGAGTGGAAGTTAGGGAAAAGGCAGCAGTGAAGAGACAGGCTGAGCTGTGGACGTGTTCCTTGGCACCCACTGACCTGGTCCAAATGGTAGAGATGGGAAAGAAGGGCTGGCTGGTCTGAAATTGAAAAGTTGTGCGAATGTTGAGCCGATGGCCATGATCTCCCACGAGGGACTAGACTTTATGAGACTAAGAAGGGGGCCAGCTGGTTTTAAGTGCATACAGGTAGGTGTGTATGGACCCCCCAAGCTTGCAGCTGATACCTAATTGATCTGGTGTGGATGACTAGGGCTGAGATGTCCAGAACCTGATCAAATGAGAAAAGATGTCTCACAGTGTGATCTGTTAGAAACTATACTGAAATTGGATGGCTTCTCTGGATTGGACTGTGCTATGCTTATGGATGCAGACAGCCATGGCCGATGTTCCAACCAGAAATGATTTTTAACATCAAAAAAAACATTCTTGTCTCCTCAAAATAGTGGCTTGTTATAGACATGGGCAATTTAGAAACTAGATATCTAAAGTGGGGGAAGATAAAGGCATTTAGTGGCTAGCTTACAAACTTTTGTGGGTGTACTCACAGAAAAATGATGAAAGGATGGGAAATCCTTCATGTATGAGAGAACGTGGCTAGTATGTGTTGATCAGAGTACAAACCACCTTCAAAATACAGTGCCAGGGGATTTGTTGTAGTGCAATTTAAAAAATAAAAGGGTTAAGAAAGAAATGAATGGGTGGTCAGGAAGTAAATGTAGAAGTAAATTTTCTCTTCCAAGAAATTTAGTAAATATTAGTCATCTCTAGAGATGGGATTAAGGATGACTGAATTTTAATTTTACTCTATAAAGGGGCTTCTGAGGAGACCTGGTGGCATAGTGGTGATAAAAATCACCAGGTTCTCGTGAGACAAAGATGAGGCTTTCTGCTACCATAAAGAGTCAGTCTCAGAAAGCCAAAGGGGCAGTTCTAGCCTGTCCTATAGGGTTGCTGTGAGTCAGAATCCAATCGACAGCAGTGACTATAGTACCAACCAAACCAAATTCACTGCCATTGAGTCAAGGCCAACTCATCAGGACTCTTCTGTGGGTTCCAGAGACTGTGACTGTTTCAGGAAGTAGAAAGCCCAGTCTTTCTTCTGCGGAGCTGCTGGGGGGGTTCCAACTGCAAACCACTTGGACTGCAGCCCAGCTTGTTACTACTGCACCACCACGGCTCCTACAATCTAGTACCGAGGGGCTTCAATTTAGAAGCCCTGGTGATGGACCCCATCAATAACCACAAGTCGACGATTCAAAACCACCACCTGCTCTGTGGGAGAAAGATGAGGTTGTCTGCTCCCATAGATTGACAACCTCAGGGAGCCCTGGTGCTGTAGTGGTTACAAGTTGGGCTGCGACTGGTCGACAGTTCAAAACCACCAGCAGCTCTGAAAAAAAAAAAATCGACAACCTCGGATAACTTGATGGCAGTGGGCACGGGGCTTCAAAAAGTTCGTGGGAAAATCCCATTACCTTAATTCCATCTTTCTGTGAGCTTTTTGTAGCACTTGTATTTTTACATGTTTTCTTTAATGAATACTATAAATTTTTTTGACATAAATACTACCACTTTTGTTAAGGTTTTTGTTTGTTTGTTTTTGGACAAAGAAAACAAGGCAGCCTGAAGGAACATAGGCTCAAGATAGGATTTTAAATTGAGGAAAATATTAAGCACAATTGTACTTTTAAGCAACTGAGGGGATAATTCACGCTCCATTAAATAGAAAAAGACAAGTAAGGTATTAACCAAGTAATGGGAGCAAAAAATACTTCTCAGAGACAGAGGGGAAGCAGCAGGTGAGTTCTTTCTCGGTAGAGTGGGGAGAAGTGAGGAAAATGGAAAAGGCTTGAAAGGGGTTCCATGGAAAACATAGGGAAGTGGTGTGAAGCAGGAACACTGGTTCTGTTAAAAATGCATCTCAAATTTCAATCAGCCTTCATTAGCTCAACCAAACCGAAATCAAAGCCATTAGAGTAGAGCCCAACTCCATGACCCTCCAAGGACAGCATAGAACTTTCCAGTTTCCAAGACTGCGATCTTTAGGGAAACAGAATGTCACCTCTTTCTTAGGTGGAGCGACTGGGGGGTTCAAACTGACAACCTTCCAGGTTAGCAGCTAAGTGCTTAACCACCCACTCATACCATCAGGGCTTCTTGTCATTGACGACCCAGTCCTGTATCTGAGAACGGCCTGAATTTTGGCTATACATTTCAATATTTAAGTAATTCTGGTATGTAAACTTTCTATTTGAATAACTGAAAACTGATACACTATGTCATTTCACTTCTCTTCAGTTTGCTTGTCTACTCTTATATGTAAATGCAGTGGAGGTGTAGTTTTGAAAGCAAGCAACAAAATAGAGATCATTTCAAGTATGAGTTAACAGAAAAACGTGTGCCCCAAAGAAGTGCTTGCAGAAAGGTTTGGTTTGATTTTTGAACCAACAGACCGAAACAAAGCCCTCAGTGTATGGCTGGTTTTAACAGTTCCTGAATAAGAGAAGAATGAGGGTTCAAATCCTAGCTCACTTTGTCAACTCATTTAACCTTCTGAAGCTCAGATGTCTCCTCTTAAAAAATGTGGAATACCATGGCAAAGGTTTCTCATATGGATTAAACGATGTAACACAGGTGAATATGCCAATTTCATTCTGTGTATGCAGATCCGTTTGTTAATCGTTTAATAGAGAGAGAGAGAAAAACCTGCAGCATCTTGACTAAATTGAGGGTTCTGCGGCCCAAAGGAGTGCATATCACACAAAAAAGCCAGATCCTAACACAGAGCGCATTATTTTTCTTCCCTGACGCAAGCTAACTCTTTTTCTTGCCAAACCTTTCCACTAGGAGTCTGGAAAAAGAAAACAAAAAAGGGTACATTCAATTCCGCAGCAAAGTTTTCAGCAACTGAAGTGCAGGACCACAACAGACGCGGCCATGGCGAAGGACAACAGGTGAACAGACAAGAGATCGCCCAGAGAGCGGACACCTTCCCCTAGGA